CCTCAGAAAGCAGGAGGAGAATCCGCGCTTTCTGATTGGCTACCGGTCACATTCAACAGGCTGCGTCACTCTCCCAGTCTGGATAAATCCTTGATTTAGATCGGAGCAACGATCTACCGTAACACACAACGATCTACTGTAACACACAACGATCTACTGTAACACACAACGATCTACTGTAACACACAACGATCTACCGTAACACACAACGATCTACCATAACACACAACGATCTACTGTAACACACAACGATCTACCATAACACACAACGATCTACCAAAACACACGATCTACTGTAACACACAACTATCTACCGTAACACACAACGATCTACTGTAACACACAACTATCTACTGTAACACACAAGGGACAATCTCAGAACGAAGAACGTTCTCAGATTGTCGTTCTGGGTAGAAAATCCTGTAGTTTGAACTATTGCATCATTCAGTCGGATTCTTCTCTATTTAAATCTAATTATTACTGAAGGCCAATAAACTATACAGACTTCATAATCTGCACTCTTTTGGTTGAATGCAGTATTTATTTCCACTTTGGCTTCATGTTGTTTAGTTTTTATTCAAGTACATTTATTGTTAATGGAGACTGAGAATCTATTTTAGTTTTGGTTGTTTTATTTATTTTGTGTATCAGTCCCAGTGTCAAGTGTCTTTTGAAAGTAAGTGTATCATCTTTGGCAGGAAATCACATGTATTATTAAGTAATTTCCATTAAATCAATGTAAAAAGGTCTTCAAACAATATTATCGTTTATCGCAATAATTTTTGAGACAATTTATCGCCCAGCAAAATCTGTTATCGTGACAGGCCTAATCCAAAACCAGGAATTGAACCTGCGACCGCTGCATCAAGGACTAAAGCCTCCATATGTGGGTTGTACAGTAGAATGGAGTAAAATGTACAGAAGTTGGAATAATAAAAGAGGAACAGAAACACTATCAGTGAGAATACATGAAGACATTAATATATAATACATTAATTTATTCTCACTGATAATAATAATCTGAGGCTCTTTAATAACCAGGATCTTTTAGACTGAAGGAATTTTTCTATAAATGAGAATCAGATGTGTAGATTTCTTTTTTTTCTCTGAAGAGTTTTTCCGGCGCTAGTGGCTCATATTTTCCACAGTAGGCAGAGAGGAAAGAGGGCAAACAGAAGACATGTGGCAAAGGTCGCCGGGACCAGGAGTTGAACCGGCGACATCTGCACCGAGGACTGAGGGCTCCAAGCGCGTGGCGTGCTTCTGATGTGTAGATATAATATGAATTTCAGGTTAAAAACTATAAATGTATTATAGAAAAACCCAAATGAACCAATGACTCCCTCACTACTGTAACATTGATCAGATTACAGCCTGATATTATAATCTGATATCATCCTGAATCTCCTCAGTCAGGATGTTCTGACACTGAGGATCTTTGTTCTGTTTTTCTGTCACATTAAACCTAAATTCAGCTTTTGCCCAAAACCTGATTCCTTCAAAGAGACAAGATCATCTCGTTTTATTTATTTCTTCTTTTTCTTGTCTTTAGTTGAATCTCATCAGCAGTTTATGAACAAACATTGTTCACGTCATCAGGTTGAAAATCCACCAATAAATAGGAGAAATATTAATTACAGATCACAATAAGTTCATTTTAAGTTTAACTAGATTCTCAATTAATGATTTAATAATTTACTAGTAGATAATTAAATAAACTCCAAACAGTCTAATTAATTTGTTTCCAAACACATAAAAAGATCAAACAATAAATCCATTTTTGTTTTCTGAAAACAATTTGAATGAAATAAACTGAATAATTTCTATCATGATCTTTGAGGTTCTTAAAACTGATCATTAAGATCAATTAACTTTATAAATGAAGCTGCTGATGGAGCGCTTGATTCTTTGTCAGGTTGGTACCAGTTGGGTGGAGATGGAGAATACATTAAAAAAGATCATTTGATGATTTAACTAGACCGTCGTCTTGTATTGATGGAGGCAGAGAAACAAACTGGAATCAGACGCTGAACCAGTTCAGAACTCAAACTGGAGACGATTTGATCTATTGATAGAGAACATTAATAAATAATCTCTGGATGAATCTGGAGGATTTGAGCTTTTATGGCCAACATTAATATTACAAGCTTCAGTTTATTAGTTTCTCTTTTCAACATAAAATCATAAAATGATCAAGTTTTCAATAAATCTCCAGCCAGTTGAACATTTAGTTTAATCAAACATGAATATGATTAATTTTTAATTTATTATGTTTCTACGCAGCAGGATTAGGATTTCCAGCTTTAGGATCTCAGTGTTTCATCAGTTTTTCTGCAGTTTGTTCTAGATCTGTGGTAGATAGAAGCTGAATGCTGATCCTCCAGCTGATTCATGGATTATTGATTTACTAATCAATCATCATCAATATCTTCATCATCAGTTTCCTGATCAGGGTTCTGGTTCTGGTTCTGGTTCTGCTCTCAGCCTCATGTTGACCTGGTGAACTTTGACTCCTGCTCTCTGATTGGCTCCTGGTTCACCAGCTGGTCTCTGTCGCCCCCTGGCCTGCTGTGGTACCACTAACCTCTTCCTCCTCCTCCTCTTCCTCAGGTCTGCAGCTCTCAGTGTGGATCAGCCGCTTTCCGGGCCTCAGCCAGGTGAGAACCTGAGAACCAGCTGGTACCGACCCAATCTCCTGGTTCTGGCTATAATGCTGGTAGAACCCGGCACCATCTGACCCCTGGTTCTGGTTCTGACCCAGAGATTCTGGTTCTGGTTCCAGTTAGAACTCAGTACAGAACCATCTGACCGGTGGTTCCAGTTCCAGTCCTGGTTCTGGTTCTGGTTCTGACCCATGGTTCAGGTCCTGGTTCCGGTTCCGGTCCTGGTTCTGACCCGTGGTTCCGGTTCTGGTCCTGGTTCTGGTTCTGGTTCTGACCCCGTGGTTCCGGTTCTGGTCCTGGTTCTGGTTCTGACCCGTGGTTCCGGTCCTGGTTCTGGTTCTGACCCGTGGTCCTGGTTCTGGTTCTGACCCGTGGTTCTGGTTCTGACTCCAGGTTGGTGGTCGATGACGGGTCGGCTGAAGCTCATGTCTGGTTGTCGGGGCAACTGGTCCAGGCTGTGCTGGGATTGGCTCCCAGTGGGCGGGGCTCCAGAGGGCGGTCAGGGTCAGAGGTCACGTCCAGGTGTTCCCTGGGGGGCGGAGCCTGGTCAGTAGCTGCCTGCTCTCTGATTGGCTGTCGGGTGAGTCTCTGATCTGATTGGTGCGTCTCTTCCAGAGGACAGACGGAGACACTGAGGACGTCCTGCTGCACTTCCTGCTGTCCCTCTGCAGCGGTGATGTCATCGGGCAGCAGATGACCCTCACCTGCAGGAAGCCGACCAATCAGAGATCAGCAGGTAGGAACGCTCAGCAGAACCTGCTGGACCCAGTCCAGAGGACCGACCCGGTTCTGATCCGGTTCTGTCTCCATCAGAGGTGAGACGCTTCAGCCGAGGAGACAGAGACTTCCTGACCAGGAGGCTCCGCCCCCTGCAGCTCACCTGTCTCACCTGGAGCTGCTGGAGGATTCATGAAGAACCGAGTCAGAACCCTGATCCGATCCGGACTCACCTGGAGGGAATGGACATCAGACTTCCTGTTCACCTGCTGAACCTGTTCACCTGCTGAACCTGTTCACCTGTTGAACCTGTTCACCTGCTGAACCAGTTCACCCGCTGAACCTGTTCACCCGCTGAACCTGTTCACCTGCTGAACCTGTTCACCTGCTGAACCTGTTCACCTGAACCAGTTCACCGGCTGAACCTGTTCACCCGCTGAACCTGTTCACCCGCTGAACCTGTTCACCTGCTGAACCTGTTCACCCGCTGAACCTGTTCACCCGCTGAACCTGTTCACCCACTGAACCTGTTCACCCTGAACCTGTTCACCCGCTGAACCAGTTCACCCGCTGAACCAGTTCACCCGCTGAACCAGTTCACCTGCTGAACCTGTTCACCTGCTGAACCTGTTCACCTGTTGAACCTGTTCACCTGCTGAACCTGTTCACCTGCTGAACCAGTTCACCTGCTGAACCTGTTCACCTGCTGAACCTGTTCACCCCTGTTCACCCGCTGAACCTGTTCACTGAACCTGTTCACCTACTGAACCAGTTCACCTGCTGAACCTGTTCACCTACTGAACCTGTTCACCTACTGAACCAGTTCACCTACTGAACCAGTTCACCTGCTGAACCTGTTCACCTGCTGAACCAGTTCACCTGCTGAACCTGTTCACCTGCTGAACCAGTTCGCCTGGATGTTTAATATCAGATCTCAGTCAAACAGAAACCTGGACAGGTGACCAACTGCTCTTGGTCCAGTGGCTGAATATCATCAGGTCTGTCAGGCTGCAGGTCTTTGACTAGGCCGTCTGAGGCGACATGTTGGATTTTCTCTGTTCATTAAAACTTTATTTTCTCTGAATTGTTCTTTAAATATTTATAGTTTAGCTTCACATGGATACGGTTGTTATGGTGAGTAACCATAGCAACAAGGTAATTATATATCACAGCTGATTAACATGATCGGGTCCAAAAGGCTGCAGAACAGAACCGGGTCGGAACAGAACCTCCATGATGAGAATCTCAGAGGAACCAGGTGAATCTAACTCACTGGTTCATTGGTTCTGATTCAGCCCTTGATGGAACCGGGTCGGGTCTCTGAGAACAGAACCGGGTCAGAACCGGGTCATCAGTTGATGCTGCAGGTTCAGCCAGCAGGGGGCAGATCCACCTTCAGAACCCGGTTCTGTCTGAACTCTGGTTCTTCTTCACAGGATCCAACCGGACCTGAGAGGTTCTGGTTCTGATCCACTGGATCCTCCTCAACCATCAGAACCAGTTTTTCATCCAGTCTGGGTCGCTCACAGCGCCACCATCAGGTATAAAGTGTTACTGCAGGTTTCACTGGATCAGAACCGGGCCTGCTGGTTCTGATCCAGTTCATAAAGACAGTAGAGGTTCTGATGGTTTATTGATTTTATTTCAAAGATTAAAATCTGATTATTGATGAAGATGATTAGAGGAAGATGAAGAGAAGCAGCCGGGCCACCAGAACCAGAACCGACCCACAGAACCGGGCCACATGGAGAACTGGAACCTCCTCTGGTTCTGGTTCTGGATCAGATGGTCCAGTTCAGCAGGAAGCAGGAAGAACCGGAACCAGAACCTCCATCCGGGCTCAGCTGGACGGTACCAGAATACGACCTGGAAGAGAAACAATGGACCGGGTCAGAACCAGGTACTGGATCTGAACTGGATTTAAACCAGTTCTCTGCTGGTTCTGTTCAGGTTCTGTTCTAGTCCAAAACTCAGCGGCCTGTGAAGAGCGGCTCAGTCAAAGTCTCATCAGGGGTCAGAGGTCACATCCAAGATGGCCGACTGGTTCCTGTTGATCCATCCTGCTGATAAAAACTGAAAACTAAACATTTCATTTTAAAGATTTTTCTGTTTTCCTCAGTTTTTGCTGATAATTATGATTTATTAAATACAGAAAATTCAATATAATCATGTTTAATAGAGAAACAAAATTATTTCTATACCTTTTAAAAATTTATTCTATTTTTGTGAGACAGATCGCTCTGAATCTTTCCATATTTCCAAGATATTAAACATTAAAATGTTCTAATAATCAGTTTATCAATTTATTTGACTAACAACGACATAAAACTAAAATAAACTATGAATGTTTTGACTTTATGAACCAAAAATATTACAATAAATTTATCATTTTCTGCTCCAGTTTGAGAAGAAAATATTTGTTTAAAATCATGATAATAAAACCAAACATCTTTCTATTCCAGTCCAACAAAAAACAAATTAATTTCATAATTCTATATAAAGTTTTCCCTGTAATGACTTTCTGCTAAATTAATATAATTTTCTGTGTTTTTGTGACACATTTTGTGACAATAAACATTTTTTCAATTGCGACTTTATTAAAAACTTATTGAAGTTTTAGAAAGTTTTTAAAAGTGGATGTTGTGTAATAAATTTATTCTATATTTAAGTTTTAATATAATTTATTCTAACAGGATGAATTAAATTATGATATTTAATCCTTTGGTTTTAAAGTGAAATCATTTACTTTTAGAAAGTGTTTAAGTAAAATTATAAAATCCCAGTCTTTATAATATGTTAATATCTTAATTTAAGTTTTGAAATTTGTTTTGCATTTCTGACATTTTGTTTTATTTTCCTCAATTTGTGATTATTTTTATTCTTTTTCTGATCAGTTTATCAAATCAAATGTTTTTAATATTAATGTCTTAATATTTTCTTTTAATTTTGGATGGAAAAAACTAAACAACATAAACTTAACTCAAAAAACATCACATGCAGCAATGCATTGTGGGTAATGCAGTTCTCTGAAGTCTAAAAATGCTTAAGGGAGGAAACAGGATCCAAGATGGATGAACAGAGGTTAAAGGTCACACTGTGACCTTTAACCTCCAACATGAACAAGGGACAGAGAGGATTTGGACCGGGCCTAAATGTGTTCTGGTTCTATAATGGGCCTGTCTAAACTGGCTTTAAACTGATTCTGACCTTTGACCTTCCTCTTTCAGTAAATGAGAGCAGCTGGTTTTAAATCATCTCTAAATACACCTGAACTGGTCTGGTTCTAAACCAGTTCTGGTTCTGGATCAGGTTCTGACCTTTGACCTTCCTCTTGTAGTAGATGAATCCAGCCAGAGACAGAATCAGACCCAGGATCAGTCCTGAAGCTCCGATGGCCAGTTTGTTCCTCTCTGACTCCGGCATGGACGGGTCTGGAGGGACATGGAGACACGAGGACATGTTAGGACAGGAGGGGGACAGGTGAGACAGGTAGAGACAGGTGAGACAGCAGCTGTCTCCTCCAGGTGTCTCTCCTCTGTCTCCTCCAGGTGCTCCAGTCCTTCTTACCCCAGTTGGTGATCAGAGGTTCCTTCAGGCTGACATGTTCCACCCTGCAGGAGATCTGCTCTCCAGACCTGAAGAGAGAGACACCAACAAAACCGGGTCAGAACCAACAGAACCGGGTCAGAACCAGCAGGAAACTGGATCACACTTGAACCGGGTCAGACTTCAGAGGTTCTGGTTCTGGTTGTAGTGTTTTTAGTGGTTCTGCTTTTAATGATCCCAGTGTTGTCACTGGTTCTGGTTCTGACCCACCTGGGTGTGTACTCCAGAGTAGAGTGGACCTGGTAGTACCAGTGGTTCTGGTTCTAGTGTTTCTGGTTCTAATGGTCCCAGCGGTTTTAATGGTTCTACTGGTTCTGATTCTACTGGTTCTGGTTCTGGTTGTGACCCACCTGGGCGTGTACTCCAGAGTAGAGTGGACCTGGTAGTACCAGTCTCCGTCCTCCATCTCGTCAGTGGTCGTGACGTCTGATGTCACTTCCTGTCCGTCTCTCAGCCAACGAACTTTGATGGTTTTAGGATAGAATCATAAACTCTGCAGACCAGCATGGAGGGATGGTGGCCACCAGGGCGACCTGGAGTGAAGCTTGACGGTGGGAGGGACTGGGAGATCAATAACAGGTTATTGATTTATTATTAATTGAAATCTATACATGTGACAGACTGGTGACCTGTCCAGGTGACCTGCCTCTCACCCAGAACTTTGCTGAGAGGTAGAACGTACTGACCCCACTGGGGTCAAAGGTCAGAGGATGAATGGATGGATAGAAATCCATACATGATGTCTGAATGTAACAGGAATTATTTCTATGATTATATCAATATGATCATTGATTATTGATGATGAAACCAGTTTAACCAGAACTGGAGGAAATGAAAGTTTATTCAGGTTATTGATCCAAACAGATTATATCAGGTTTATATAGTTATAATTATTCAATAATCATAAACAAACCAGATTAACTAAAGTTATTATTGTAGATAATCACAGATCAATAATAATCCAGATAGATCTGGATGTTATAGATTGGTTCATCTATAATTAGACGAAACTTCTATATTTAATTTCTTTAATAAATTTTATATTTATGATCAATTAACAGAAAATTATTTTCTTTTTTTTGTTTTTTTCCAGATAGAAATAAAATGTTTCTATATATTTAATATTGATGAATTTATTACTGTAAAATGTTTCATATTGATTAACTCTAATAGTAAATAATTTAGCAATAACTTATAGATCAGCTGATCAGATCCATGATAGATAAATATTGATCATTTGATGACATCAGAGTTGAATGTTTAATCAATAAGTGATGACTGATTGATCCAGTTTATTGATCATCAGTCAGAACTGATCAGAGGATCAATGAGGAAATGATCAATCAACTCACCTGATTTATCCAGAGCGTTCCGGTAGTCGTTACCAATGTTGTGTAGGCAGTAGGCTTCCTTCTGAGCTTTCCTTGATCCTATAATTGAAGGATCTTTGTTGAATCGTTCTGCGTTCTTCACTCCAAACTCCGTGTATCCAACATATTTCTCCAGGTTGCTGTCAAACCGGGCCCATTCCTTCTTGTTGTAAATGTAGGATCTGATGAACTCGATGTCATTCAGATCAGTGGAGTTAAAGATGCAACGAGTCACAACAATTTCTCTGAATCCATCTGGAACTAGAACAGAACCTCAGTATTGATTTACTATCAGTTATTGATCGTAGCTGATATGTTCATTTCATCAACTTCACATTGATTACCAATCAATACGTTTGAATTGATTGATGTATTGATTAGTATATTAATGATCAATAATTAATCAGAATATTGATCAGTTTATCAGTTATGGATCATTGATTCTCCAGCAGAACTGATTAATAGGAGATTATTGATCCACATATTAGCTATAGTATTGATCAGAGATCAGATTATTGATCCAGCCTGATTTACAGATTGATAAGCAGTTAAAGTATTGATCAGTATTGATTAGTATTACATTATTGATCCTTATTGCTCTACAGACTGAAGCAGTTTAAATCCTGACTATTGATCCATATAATAACTTATTGATCAGTGATTATCAGTTGCTACCAGAGTATTGATCATGATAACAGTGATTATCAGTTATTGATCATACCTGCAGAGTGGACGGTGATGATGACCAGCAGCCAGCAGAGCAGTGATGGACCATGTCTATGTCTCTCTGTGTCTCTCTGTGTCTCTCTGTGTCTTTCTGTGTCTCTCTGTCTCTCTGTGTCTCCCAGTCAGAGGAACTAACTGGTTCTGATGGGAACTGCTGTAAAAACCAGAACAGAGTCACATGACCTCTGACTCACTGGTTGCCAGGTAGAAGAGACTCAAGCTGGAGACCAGAGATCAGAGACACTGGATCTGTTCTGGTTCTGGTTCTGTTTCTGTTCCAGCACCAGGTCTCTGCTGGTCCAATGGACCGGTTCTGGTTCTACAGAGAGAAACTAAATAAAAAGTAATTTACAAGAACAACTGGATCTACTGACAGAACAACCTGATTCTGTTCAAAACCGGGTCAGAACCAGATCAGAACTGGATCTAATACATTTAATAATTCATAAATAATCAAAGTTTATTAATACAGAACCATCAGTTGGTTCTGCTGGTTCTACTGGTTTCCTCCAGAACCAGTTCCTGGTCTCTCCAGCAGCTCTCAGCTCCAGCCTTCCTCTACCTGGCTACTGATGACATCAGAGCCCTGCTGCCCTCTGATTGGCTGCTGCCAGCGTTTGGTTCCAGCAGCAGCTTCAGTTTCTCTCAGAGTCTCTGAGTCTCACACATGATGAAGATGAAGCTGCTCCTCTTCCTCTGCGGGGTCCTCTGGGTCTCTGCTGATGGTGAGTTACACTGGTTCTGACCCGGTTCTGATGGGTCCAGACTGGTTCTGACCTGGTTCTGATGGACCCAGTGGGTTGTGCAGGTTCTGGTTCTGGTTGTTGATCAGTGTCTCTGTGTCTCTAGTTCTTCATGAGGACATTGCTATCGATGGATGTTCAGACTCTGATGGAGAGAAGCTGTTCGCTCTGGATGGAGAAGAGATGTGGTTCGCTGACTTCAAGAAGAAACAAGGAGTCGAACCTCAACCTCCTTTTGTTGGTCATGTGAGCTACCCAGGAGGTTATGAATCAGCTGTGGCGAATCAACAGGTCTGCAGATCAAACCTGAAGAATGATCGTATTGGTATGAAGGACATTCCAGATGAAAACGGTAAAGATCAAAAATCATTTAAACTGATTTATTTTCATCTTTGATCAGATGATTATTTATTAATTAACTGTTTATTATTAATAAATTAAAATAGTTTAATAAATTAAATCCAGTTTATGAGGAATCATGTTTAAAATCTGAGATGTGATGATAATTAAATTTGCTCCAGTTTATTACAGTTTATATTTGTCTAATATTATAACTATTAACTGTTTCTTAATCATTAATAACATGCAGAGCTTTATTAATATGTGACAGCAGATAAAATAAAATCTGATTTTATATATTTCAGTTCAATTAAACATTTTATTTCATGTGAAATAATTAATATTAATATCTCTGTTTTCATTTGATTAATCTAATTCATTAAATAATAAAAGAAAATGATAATAAATAATAAAATATCCAGTCGAAGAGGATAATTAGAAATAAAACAGGAATTTAAAGTTTCATCTTTACATAATTAATAAACAATAACTGCTCCCAGTAAAGATGATAATAATTATTATAACATCATAATGTAACATAACCACCAAAATGTTTGTTTTGTTCTGCATAAATTAAACATTAAATGTATCAAATTGATTCATGCAGCAGTTTCTGATATTTCACTGGTTAAACTGGTTTTGTGCATCAAACTGGTTTTAGACTGAAATGAATAAATAAAATAAATAAAACTGGTGAGCAAAGAAAACAGAAAAACCAAACATTGATCATCTCATCAATGCAGAGTAAATTTGATCAAAAGTTTCAAACTAGTAAAAAAATTATAATTTTTCATTTGGATTAAAACAGAGAAATACTTCCAGGACTTTTTGTTTTGTTTTGTGAGAAAAAGGGACTTTAAACAAGAAAAGGAAATTTTGGACATTTAATTATTTAGTTGTTTTTTTGTCAACATAATCTGAGAGATTTAAATCTGACCCAGAATTATTATTTTTGAGGGAGTTTTGGTTACTGATCTATTTATTATTTATTATAAATACTTATTATTTCTTAATATTGTGGTTTTTAAAGGAATTATTGTTGCTAAAAACCTACAAATTTATTTTCTTATCAAATTAAATGATTTAACATATTTTACCTGATTCTGCGACATATTGAGTTTAAATATATTCTTCTTTAAATCAACTGAATTTTACAGAACCAAATCATATAAATGCTGTCAGTCGACCATCAGAGCTGATTGGACCCGGTTCTGACCCGGTTCTGTTGGTTCCTATGGAAACTGTTCAGTCATGTTTCCATAGGAACCAATTTAACAGGGAACTAAAAACATTTGATTCATTTCCAGCTGCTGTGGTTTTTATTCTCACTTCAACTGGACCGAGACCAACGATGTTAGACGACCAGAATTCACTTTTTAGTTCATTTTGGAATTAAAATTAACATTAATATTTTCCAAGAATCAGACTGTCTAGACAAACAGATTAAAGTCAAACTGGGCTGTAATCCAGAGTCCAGTTTGGATTAGACTCTGGGTAGTCCAGATTAAATTCTAGTCTAATCTGGACTAGAAGTAGAATGCAGTATTATTATAACTCATAACTCTTTTCCTCAGTGATGGAAGAGAGAAATATAACAGGTTAGCCCCGCCCCCCGACCAATCAGAAAGCAGCAGCCGTGTCATCAGCCAATAGTGAATCAGTTCAGCAGGAGAAACAGATTTAGATTAAAGTGAGAAACTTCTAGAAACATTTAACCAGGTAATTCAGCTTAAAGTAACAAAATATGGACTTTCAGGTGGTTCTGCTGGTTCTGCTGCCAACTGGACCAGAACCACTGGGTTAACCTTGGACCAGTTCATTCCTCTATTATTGATTTATATTCCAGCAGATAATCAGTTCTTCTTCTCTGACATTATAGATCTGATCTCTGATCAGAGGGAGGTTCTGATCCAGTTCCTCCATCTGGTCTTGTTCCTCCAGTTAACCCCTGGTTTCTCCCCTGCTTTCTCTCCTGCTTTCTGCCTGGTTTCTCCCCAGATGCCCCTCTGGTCTGGTTATTTACCCCAGAGACGATGTGGAGCTGGGAGAGAAGAACATCCTGATCTGTCACGTCTCTGGTTTCTATCCGCCTCCGGTCAACGTCTCCTGGACCAGAAATGGAGACAAAGTGACTGAAGGAACCAGCATCAATGTTCCTTTTCCCAGTAAAGACTCGACCTTCACCCAGATCTCCAGGCTGCACTTTGTCCCTCAGCTGGGAGACATTTACAGCTGTTCAGTGGAACATCTGGCCCTGAAAGAACCAAAGACCACAACCTGGGGTGAGGAGACTTTGACTAGACCACCAGCATCAACAGGAACCTTTAATGTATTGATGAACCTGATTGATCCTGATTGATCTAAACATCCAGATGTTTCTTGTGTCTCCAGATGTGGAGATGGACAATCCTCAGTCCGGTTCCGGTCCGGCCATCTTCTGTGGAGTCGGTCTGACCATCGGCCTGCTGGGAGTCGCTGTGGGAACTTTCTTCCTGATCAAAGGGAACGAGTGCAGCTGATTGGCTGATGCTGATTGGCTGAAGCTGATTGGTTAAAGCTGATTGGCTGAAGCTGATTGGCTGGTTGGAGCTGATTGGCTGAAGCTGATTGGTTAAGCTGATTGGTTGATGGTTTATCTGATTTATGTTCATTTTCAAACTGTTTTTTCACTTTAATCATTTTCTTTATTGATGTAAATTTAATATAAACTATTTTGAAAGTTTAAATCTTTTCATTCATAAAAACATGAAACTTTAATCTGATGGTTTTTATGTAACTGGATCGACTGTTTCAGTTAATAAATGATCAATTATTTCTATCAGTTTATTGTTATTCATTCAGTTCAGAACCAGAACCAACAGCAGAACCTCTGGATTCAAGATGGTCCACCTTCTGTTCCCAATAATAACTTTAATATAATCTGTGGTTTGATTTATTTACTATAAATTAATTTTTCTCTCCATGTTTCTAGTTTTACCATCAAACTCCAGGATGATGGAGGTTCAGTTCTCTGCTGCTGTAGCTGCTGCCGTCCACAGGAAGTCAATAAGAAAACTTGATTTATATAGCATAAAGACAATTCAAAGTGTTTCTACAAGAGTTAAAAACAATATAAAACAAGAAGATAGTAAATAATAAAAGATCAAGCAGATTAAAAATAGACAAAGTATTAAAAATGTAAGAATAGGCCACTGTAAATAAGAAGGTTTTTAACCTTGTTTTAAATAAACTCAGGGTCAGTCTGACAATGAGCAGGAAGTTTATTCTAAAGTGTTGGAATAGTTTTTAGTTCTGACTCTATAAATAGTTAATATGTTTGATTCTGATGATCTTAAAGGTCTCAGTGGTTTATATGGTTGTAGAAGATCAGAAAAGTAGTCTGGCTTTATAAACTATTAATTTTAAATTTAGTTCTTTGAGCAACAGGCAGCCATTGCAGAGATCTGAGAACTGGACTGATGTGCTGATCTCTTTTTGTTTTAGTCAGGACTCTTGCAGCAGCATTCTGGAGGAGCTGGAGCTCTGATTGCTTTTTATGATAATCCAGTAAAAATGCAGTAAAAATGAAAGCATGAACTAATTTCTCAGATGAAATTACATGAGTCGTCTGATTTTATATTTTATATTGTTTAGATGGTAGTTTGATGTTTTTATGATATATTTGGTTATTGAAGTTCAGATCAGGATCCATGATCTGAACTTAAGAGCTTTTCAATCCAACAGATTGAAGGTGGCTGATTATTTTTAATCTGTGCTCTTTTGGTCCAAACACTAATATTTCAGTTTTGTTTTTATGAGAAAGTTATGTCTCATCCAAACATTAATCTGGTCAATACATGTTGTGAGGATTTGAACCTGACTGTAAAACTAATGTACAGTTGTGTGTCGTCAGCATAGTTATTATTTTGTATAATTTGAAGTAATGGAAGCAGATAGATATTAAAAAGAAGGAGCACCAGGATGGAGCCTTGGGGAACTCCAGAGGTAATTTCATTCAGTTTGGATCTAAAGATGCCTGTAGAAACACAAAAGATTCTGTCACACAGGAAAGATTTAATCCAGCTGAGTACGACACCGGAAACACCAACTCAAGTTTCTAATCGATTTAATAGAATATCATGATCCTGGAACCAGCCAGGAACAGGAACCGGCCAGTAGCCAGCCAGGAGGAGCCGGCCAGGATCCGGCCAAGAGCCGGCCAGGAGGCGCCGGCCAGGAGGCGCCGGCCAGGAGGCGCCCAAGAGAATCTGGCCAAGAGCCGGCCAGGAGGAGCCGGCCAGGCAGGTCATGGAGATCATAGCAGAGAAGATGATGGTGCAGCAGCTGACTGATTCATGAGACCATGATGTTCATATTTTCAGTTTTCGACTTAATGAGGAGGGGAGAATTGTTTGACTACCTCATCTCTCCTCATCTCAGTAGAACAATCATCATGTTGTGTTTATTCATGCAGAAAGTCAAACATGCTTTGTGTGTCTGTGAGCCACTGATCTCAGTGCTGCTGAATCTTTAGCTTCATTGTTTACATCATACCAGCTGATTGAGATGAATATTATAAACATTCTAACATTATAAACATTATAAAGATCAGAAACATCATTAGTTTCTCTCTGTTCATCATCACAGACACAGGGACTCAGGCGCCCCCTGCTGCAACAGTTGGGTAACATCTGTAGCAGGTGGGCGGAGCCGTCTTGGTCTGTTTGCTGCAACAGGGTCATGTGACACGAGACACGCCCACTCTGAGCTGGATCAGAGAACCAATCAGAATTAACCTGGTTTAGCTTCAGACCAGCCAATCACAGAGCAGCTGGTGATGATGTCATCAGTTACCAGGTAGAGGACAGAAACATCTGCTGAACTAGAGAGGAATCAATCAGATCAACTGGATCTCCTGACCGGATCAAGACAGGAATCCAAACAGGAAGTTCTGCTGGTTCTGAAGGTCCAACATGAGGCCTGGAGGTTCTGGTTCTGTCTCTGAGTCTAACAGAGTTTGTAGAAGTTAAATTGTTAAAACATCATTAATTATTAATTATTTAGTTATTTGAACCTGAATCATGAATTTCATTTAATGCTATGACATCATCATGGAAAACATGACCTTTGACCCTCAGCTGCTGGAGACAAAGAGAAAATGATAAACCAGTGAATATTTATTGATATGATGATGATTCTAGTTCATCTTTTCAACAGAAACTTAAACTGTGACCCGAAATAAAACCTGATGAGAACTAACAGAACCAGACCAGAACCGGTCCATTACAGAGCTGATTCAGCAGAACTCTTCCTCTGGTTCTGGTTCTGTAGAACGGGTCCAGGTTTCTCCAGTCCAATCAGAACTGTTCCTGTTCAGACTCCAGAACCTCAGACTGGACCCGCTCAGCTTCTGTTTACTGATCTGTTAATAAAGTTAACTGATAAACTCTCTGCTGACCTTTGACCTTCTGAGCAGCCAATCACAGCAGACTGAACCGGGTCACCCTGCAGAACTCAGCCTGACCCGATCAGAGCACTTCTGGTTCTGATCAGAGCAGCCGGGTCCAATCTGAAGGTAAGAACCGACTGAGACGTTTCAGAACATTTCCCCCTGCTGGTCAGGAGGAGAAACTGCTGCTCAGATCTGGACCAGAACCAGAACCGGTCAGACTGGACCCTGACAGTCTGTTGACTGATTCTGCTGTGGTTCTGTAGACACAGAGATGAACTGGATCAGAACCGTTTTGGACCAACAGAGGACATATTATAAAATTCTACCAGAACCAGAACCAGAACCAGGTCTCAGTCTGATGGTCAGTTTGTCTCTGATTGATGATCTATAGACTTTTATAATAGATCTATTGATATGGAATCAGGTTCTGATCTCTGCAGGTTCTACTTGATTTTATCAGATCAATACCTGATCAATAATCAATATCAGTTTCTCTAGTAGAACAGGTTACATTATGACCTTTGACCTGCTGACAGAATATCAGATAATCTATGATTATTGATCTGACATAAAGATGATCAGCTGATGGATCAGAACCACCTGAACAGATTGGACCAGGAGGGACCAGAACCAGAACCAGAACCAGAACCGGGTTCTTCTGATGGAGACCAGCAGGTTCTGGTTCAGATCCGACCCACAGCATGCCTGAGCCTCCACCTACAGAACCAGCAGGAGACTGAGACAGATTCATGGTTGACCTGACAGTTCAGCAGGTGAACCATGAAGGACCTGATCAGGACCATCTGTTCTGTTCTCCTCCCTGCAGTGCATCATGGGAACTCTGACGGCTCACCTGACTCAGGTAACTCCCTGCATAGCCCCGCCCCCTCTGTCCTGTAACCATGGTAATGTCTCTCTCTAGTCTGATGAACAGGAAGCTCCGCCCCAGAGGGAGGAGTTTAGTCTGGAGGGGGCGGGGCCTGTTGGTGACGTCAGAGGGTGGCTGCTGAGGCGTCTCCATGGTAACAGGAGCAGCTGTGTGTTGCTAGGTGTGTGTGGGGGCGTGGCCTTCACTGCAGGTGAGATCAGATTGATCACCTGATCAAATCAATACCTGGTCATGTGACTGACATGTCATCCTCTACCAGCGTTCCTATTGGCCCTCGCTGTGCTCAGGGGGCGGGGCCTCTGCTCCCAGGAGGCGGGGCTACAGCAGCCTGGGGGCGGGGCCAACAGACCTGCAGACGGAGGGGCGGAGCTTTACCTGGGGGAGCTGAGGGCGATGATGAGGAAGATGCTGCAGGATGAAGATCTGCTCAGCACCGTCAGGTAGACGCCGTTACCATGGTAACCAGTACTTCCTGCCCTCTGATTGGCTGTCTCTGCTGCAGCCGGGTCAGCAGAACCGATCATCCTCCCGGATCCTCAGAGGGAACGGTTCTGGCCTCAGAGGTTCTGGCTCGGTTCAGGAAGCTGCAGATGGATCGGACCTGGACCGAGTCGCTGTTCGCTACGCTGCAGGTACCAGACAGGTGAGACAGAACCGGACTGATCCAGATCCTGCATCAGGTTCAACTTTATGACCCGCTGGATCAGAACCAGAGAGTCACAACTGGATCAGAACCAATCAGAACCAACAGGATGAGTTTCAGGTTCCCTTAGAGACTGAAACTGGACCCAAAAGGACAAACAGAACCTTTTACACGTCTAAAACCAGAACCGGTCCGATCCAGTAGAAACTCATCCAGAATAAATTAATAACTTCCTGGTCCCTGTTTCCATGAAACTAAATTCAGAACAGAAAATATTCACCAGTTTAAAGTTTTTACAACAACAGAACCGGTCCTCTGGATCCGGTACAGTGGCCATCAGACTCTAAACCAGGGGTGGGCACTCCTGGTCTTCGAGGGCCGGTGTCCTGCAACTCTTGCTTGTCTCCCTGATCCAACACCTGAATCCAACACCTGACTCACCTCCTAAATGCAGTCAAGTTCTGCAGAGTTCTGCTAATCACCTCATTATTTGACTCAGGTCTGTTGAAGTAGAGATACATGTAAAAGTTGCAGGAGAATCTTGAGGACCTGGAGTGCCCACCCCTGATCTAGATGGATCACTGAG